TTTCATAGCTGACTGATAGCTACTTGACTGACCTGGTTTCCTAGAACTCGACGTTACTTTCGCTTTCACTTTGTTTACTTCCGCTTTTCCGTTTCCAACCATCTCCATTGAACTAGCTGCCCTTTGTGCCATTTCATATGTTTGTGCTAATTCACGAATTTGATCTAACGTTATGTTTCTCCTCTCTAGAAACTTTCTCCTCAATCGTGACGAGCTACATTTCTCTATTACCTGGTCTCGTATCATGCCGTCTCCATCTCGAAAATCACAGAATACTGCCTTTTCACGTAGACGCGTGATAAACATTTCAACCGTTTCTGAGGTATCCTGGCTCATGGCCCTGAATTGGGATCTTTCGAAAGATACATTTACTTGTGGCGTGAAATGTGCCGTTAATGCGGTATTTGCGACAGTATACACCGTTTGTCCATCTCCCGGATCACCAACTTGTAAGGTGAAAAATATATCCTGTACCTTAGGACCAGCACAATGTAGAAATAATGCTCTTTTCTGACCAGGGTCATTCACACCCTTACCTTCCGCATATAACTCAAAAAAGCGGACCCATTTATTCCAGCGTTGACCAGCCGAAGTAAAAGGTGACGGATCAAATTGTTGTATTACCCCAAAGTCCGACAAACTTATTCCTTGAGCCATTTTAAATGCTTGTTTTTACCCTCGTCGCCAGTTTATAGTGTCTTCATGGATGGATGANTTCGTATCACTGTCGAGTGGTATCAATGTGTAAATGTATTACAGGTACAATATCTTATCGCTGTCGAGTGGGATCAATGTGTAAATGTATTACAGGTACAATTTCTTATCGCTGTCGAGTGGTATCAATGTGTAAATGTATTACGGGTACAATTTCGTATCACTGTCGAGTGGTATCAATGTGGAAATGTATTACAGGTACAATATCTTATCGCTGTCGAGTGGTATCAATGTGTAAATGTATATATTACCACATTATATAGTTACAATCACCTGTGTGTGTTACATACTGTATATATTACCACATTATATAGTTACAATCACCTGTGTGTGTTACATACTGTATTTATTACCACATTGTATAGTTACAATCACCTGTGTGTGTTATATACTGTATCTATTACCACATTGTATAGTTACAATCACCTGTGTGTGTTNCGTATTATGGGCAGTTCTCCTCAAAGTAATTACCGTTGTTTGTCTTCTGAAAAGCGTGCGGACCGTTGGAAAAGTAAGTTTACTTTCTACAGATAAGTTAAAATATAATACTGATGACAAACAAATTAGCTGTAAGGCTGAAAAATCATAAACATATGAATTGTATTAATATTGACAATTTTTTTTTATATTTGGATAGGTAGTAAAAAATACAGTGATGAAATTCCTTACCCTGAATTAAATTTACAGTGGGAGGGGGGGGGGGGGGCATTTATTTAAAGGGGGAAGGAGGAAATTTACACTTGTTAGTATTGAGTTTAATGTAGATTTACATAAGATAACGACATTGAATTACGGTTAGAAATTTGTAAAACTCAAAACTTTGATTAAAACTTGGAAAAGGAGATGACTTATTCCTATTGGTAGGATACATACTATAAAATCGTTATTATTTTCACAATTCAATCACCTTTTTATCTCTTAACCAAATCCAGATGACTGTTTTCTTAAAAAATATTTAGAGAGATTTTCTGTGAAAAAGTAAAATAGAAAAAGCTGAAAGAGATGTCGTTTTTAAAGATTACTTAGAAGGGGGTCTTAAAATTTTACATGTACAGTCGTTTATTGACTCGTTAAATTAAAACTCGTTAACGTGGGTTATGAGGTTATATATGAATTCTCGTAAATGACAAGTGATTTTAGAATTAGTTTGTGATAAGATCATTTTGGAATATTATGGAACTGATTATATTTCAAAATGTCAAAATAAAACTAAATATTGATTATGGATGATGTATTTAGGGCATGGAGAAACATTAATGAAAATAAAAGTTCTTTAGCAGTAAGTTCAAAATGCCCATCTGGTATAACCATACGATTACAATAGAAAATATAAGCATATTTTAAAGAGAATGGTACAATAAAGGGACAATCATATAAATGATCTAATCAAAGACAGAAATACCTATGAATTTTACACATTTCAAGATTTCAAGCAGATGTATGATGTTATATACACTTTTTACGATACCAGGGTCTAATTACTGCCATAAAAGAGCACATTCTACAACAAGATAAGTCAAATGTAGAGGTAAATTATTCATTTATATCAATTTAAGGGACATTACGTGAAGAGCTAAATCTTTGTTAATGAATATGTTACCTTGCTATCCCCATATTCATAGTCCGTTCAAAATGTCCAGTTTGATCACTTGAATTGTTCGGGATGTTAAAAATAGCAATAATAATGTCACCTGACGGTTTTGAAACGAAGCAGTAAATACAGGTGGTTTGACCGAGATTCAAAGTTTCCAAAGGGGCCCCCAGAGAGGGGCCGTTTGGCAACTGCAGCTTCTTACCGCACTATGAAAACCAGGAATATGATTTCTAAGTCCGTGTTGAAACTTATTGAATCAGTAATTATTCATCATCAGAAGTTAATTGCACGCATGCCAATATTCAGAATTTAAATGAAGAAATATTTGTTGGCATCTCGGCAGTATTTATATTTCTGTAAAAAGGAATATTCACGAGACAAATATCCCATTTTAAATATTTTTATTAAGTGTATATATGCATTGATAAGTTTAAAAAAAAAGAGAAACGTTTGTGATTTTTTGTATTTCATTGTACAACTCAATTTCTTTGGCTACTTTTTTTTCTAGACAATGTATAATATATATTCATGTATACTCTCTTTCCCACTTTCACTGTCTTCATACACAAACACTTAGTAAATCATATAAGCCATCACACAAATTTAACATTTCTGGCTAAATCACTGCGTGTATATGTAGAATATGTGTCAAGATTTGGAACGTGTTGAGATACTTGATGATTATATGTTTTTCATACTTTACATAGATTAAAGCATACTCGTAAATGGACCTTTTTTATGTTGAGACAACTTTTCTTTAATCAGTTCTTTTTGTCCAAAACAGAAGTCGTAGTTATCGGCAGCACGCGTCATTTACATTTACAACGTAAACAAATTTTCCCGTTTTCAATGCGTATTCCGGTTGTATCTGAAGTCGAAAACTAATTATTTATGGAAAAAAAAGTTGTTGTATGATCATACATTCTAAGTCAACATCATGTGTAAACATGAACTGTTGAAACATTGCTATTTAAAAAATATTTTTGTTATGCAATCCTATTTACTATAAGTAGGCTCTTCTTCCTCTATTATTCATCCTGATTGCATGTTAATAAAATTCAAAGTACTGAAAGTACTCCAGACACATGCTTTATTGATGTTGCAATATTTCCATAGTTATATATGTAACATTTTAGGAAAAATGAACACAATACAGTCAGTTGGTATGCAAAATAAACACCAATAATAAAAAATGTTAATCTTCCGCTATGTTGTACACATATTTATTTTAGCATACACACATTTTTAGCTCGTTTTCAAATTTTAACAGATCAACGAATTGGCATACCCTCAATATAAGCAAAAACAATTGTAAACAGAAACTTCAATTAGCGCAATTATAGATAAGTGCAATATTTGAAACCCAGAGAAGCGTTAAAATCCGATAACTACTATACGTTTACAGTGTCCCTTCTTTTCTGTACATGCTTCCTTTGTGTTCTAGCTGATGCTTCTGACCACATTCTTTCCTCCATTAATTGGTTTGGCGATGTTGATACAAGCGTTGACGCAGAACGGCGCCAAAGATGGCTTACTTTTCACGACTTGCAGACTCTCAGGTTTGTTTATCGCATTTATTCGATGCAAGCTATCATTGCAAAATATTATTTAGCATACATTTGAAGACCTTATTCTTAGTCACTTGAGTTTTCTGTCACTTGCTGTCCACAATAAGCTCTTTGCTTAGCGGCACAGTTAATGATATCATTATCAAATTTGCATTTACCAGAAAGTATGGATAAATATGTTGTGTTATGCACCTCCATTTCTGTCTCAACAGCAGTTGAGGTCAATTTGGATTTCCAGCAATTTGGCCCCATTGATGAGTCATAAACGGTTGGGACAGCAGTATGGTGCAGTGTAATTTCGTGTATGGGCTGCTGTATCTTTTATGGGCTACTGTATCTTTTATAGGCTACTGTATCTGTTATGGGCCACTGTATCTTTTATGGGCTACTGTATCTTTTATAGGCTACTGTATCTGTTATGGGCCACTGTATCTTCTATGGGCTACTGTATCTTTTATGGGCTACTGTATCTGTTAAAGGCCACTGTATCTTTTATGGTCTACTGTATCTTTTATGTGCTACTGTATCTTTTATGGGCTACTGTATCTTTTATGGGCTACTTTATCTGTTTTGGGCTACTGTATCTTTTATGGGCTACTGTATCTTTTATGGGCTACTGTATCTTTTATGGGCTACTGTATCTTTTATGGGCTACTGCATCTATTATGGGCTACTGTATCTGTTATGCGCTACTGTATCTTTTATGGGCTACTGTATCTTTTATGGGCTACTGTATCATTTATGGGCTACTGTATCTTTTATGGTCTACTGTATCTTTTATGGCCTACAGTATCTTTTATGGGCTACTGTATCTTTTATGGGCTACTGTATCTGTTATGTGCTGCTGTATCTTTTATGGGCTACTGTATCTTCTATGGGCTACTGTATCCTTTATGGGCTACTGTATCTTTTATGGTCTACAGTATCTTTTATGGGCTACTGTATCTTTTATGTGCTACTGCATCTTTTATGGGCTACTGCATCTTTTATGGTCTACTGCATCTTTTATGGTCTACTGTATCTTTTATGGCCTACTGTATCTTTTATGGGCTACTGTATCGTTTATGGGCTGCTGTATCTTTTATGGGCTATTGTATCTTTTATGGGCTACTGCATCTTTTTTGGGCTACTGTATCTTTTATGGGGTACTGTATATTGTATGGGGTACTGTATATTTTATGGGCTACTGTATCTTTTATGAGCTACTGTATCTTTTATGGTCAACTGTATCTTTTATGGGCTACTGTATCTTTAAGGGGCTACTGTATCTTTTATGGGCTACTGTATCGTTTATGGGCTGCTGTATCTTTTATGGGCTACTGTATCTTTTAACGGCTACTGTATCTTTTATGGGCTACTGTATATTTTATGGGCTACTGCATCTTTTATGGGCTACCTTATCTTTTATGGTCTACTGTATCTTTTATGGGCTACCTTATCTTTTATGGGCTACTGTATCTTTTATAGGCTACCTTATCTTTTATGGTCTACTGTATCTTTTATGGTCTACTGTATCTTCTATGGGCTACTGTATCTTTTATGGGCTACTGCATCTTTTTTGGGCTACTGTATCTTTTATGGGGTACTGCATCTTTTATGGGCTACTGCATCTTTTATGGTCTACTGTATCTTCTATGGGAGACTGTATCCTTTATGGGCTACTGTATCTTTTATGGTCTACTTTATCTTGTATGGTCTACTGTATCTTTTATGGTCTACTGCATCTTCTATGGGCTACTGCATCTTTTATGGGCTACCTTATCTTTTATGGGCTACTGTATCTTTTATGTGCTACTGCATCTTTTATGGGCTACTGCATCTTTTATGGTCTACTGTATCTTCTATGGGAGACTGTATCCTTTATGGGCTACTGTATCTTTTATGGTCTACAGTATCTTTTATGGGCTACTGTATCTTTTATAGGCTACCTTATCTTTTATGGTCTACTGCATCTTTTATGGGCTACTGTATCTGTTATGCGCTACTGTATCTTTTATGGGCTACTGTATCGTTTATGGGCTGCTGTATCTTTTATGGGCTACTGTATCTTCTATGGGCTACTGTATCTTTTATGGGCTACTTCATCTTTTATGGGCTACCTTATCTTTTATGGGCTACTGTATCTTTTATGTGCTACTGCATCTTTTATGGGCTACTGCATCTTTTATGGGCTACTGCATCTTTTATGGTCTACTGCATCTTTTATGGGCTACTGTATATTTTATGGGCTACTGTATCTTTTATGAGCTACTGTATCTTTTATAGGCTACCTTATCTTTTATGGTCTACTGTATCTTTTATGGGCTACTGTATCTTTAACCATATTGTATAGACATGCATTATTGTCATCCTTACTAACACGCAGGAATCAATGCATTAAAGCTTTGGTAAATATGATCAGTTTGAAATGACAAAGCATCACCATTTGGAAAATCCTACAACAAAATTAACTCAAGTACAGTACAAATTAAATGACAGGTTTGGATAGAGGCGACATTCATGGCTTTTTACAGTCTCGGTCCAAGCTGGGGAGGCGTGATGATGATGGGAAGTCATATGAAGTTCCACACTAACTGTCTGAGGTAAATATAAGTATATCTACTTTACTTAGATATATTTATTATGATGAAAAGTCACAGCATACGAATCTTTTGGTCTTATTTATGTTAATTAGTACCAGTGATGTACTAACATGTTCTAAGTTTATAATATACCCATACCAATCATAAAATTAATACAGGACATTATATTAACACGTGTGAAGATATAGCGTGTCATATGATCTTCACCGTAGTTATTTTTTATCAAACTGATACTTTTTGTATATGTCAGTGATAAAACTGCATTAATACCATTATTATTATAAACATTTGTTTGATCGACATAACATTTGTTTTCAATTATTGTTGTTGTAAAAATAGGTTGGCTGACATCACCTGTGATATAATTATTGCAGTTACAGCGAGGTGATTATCAGTATCATTGCGACTATGCTTCTTGTTGCAGAAATGTATTGATTGGCATCATTGGGGATGTCTGCATAGCAGTATTCAGCAGCGTCGTATTGTTTGCTGTTCTTGGTGTGATGGCGAGCGAGATCGGCGTACCTGTCGAGGATGTTGTAAAGTCTGGTATGGGATATATACATGATGAATACCTATCATGCTGCTAAAATACACAAGAAAGCGCGTGTTTCGAGTTCCTAATTTTTTTATTTTTTTTTATCAATTTATTTTTCCAACAGTTTTTCATAATATAGGTACAGAACAGGTATTTTCATTTTCACACTCTCTAACACACATTTTGACACTTAATTCACTCATCATCAACATCATCCTGAATGTTGTCGTCATCTCCCTCATCACCATCATCATCATCCTCACATTCATCATCATCATCATTATCATCTTCCTCATTCTCAGACTCATCATCATCATCATCATCATCATCATCATCCTCATCCTCACAATCATCATCATCCTCCTCACAATCATCATCAACATCATCATCAGCATCACTATCTCATCAGCATCCTGATACTAAATGTTCAAACTATCGTTCCTCATAGCCATCATCATCATCCTCAACGTCATTGTCATCATCCGTACAATGTGTGTCATCAGCAACACACCTCAACAGACAGCCACTGAACCAAACTGCAACATCATTTTTTTAATTGATACATTCAATATTTGACATCAACATACTCAACAATCATGATTAACTCATTCATAAAGAGGAAGATCAGCATAACACTTTTTCTTTTTAATATATTATTACATGTATACACATTTTTATGACAGACAACATAATCCACATCATATTATATTTTATTTCAGAACCAAATCATGTACTTCACTTCAATAAAAAGCATGAACAGATAAACCCACTCCTATACGCTTTCACTCACACACACTCACATGCACTCTATCTACAAAAAGATAAAACTCCTGTAATTGCTTTATCTGATATGTGTATAATATTGTCGAAAAGGAAGGAAAGAGAAATAAGAGAGAAGAAAGGAAAAAGAAAAGGAATGAATAGGCATAGATATTCTGTTGCAAAAAATATCATATTGATGAATTCTAGGGATAGATACCAGAGACAGGGATGTCAAACTATACTCATATAGTACTTAAAAATATATTACCAGAACCAGCAAAATATATTGCCAGAGTACAGGGCAGTTTCAATAGAATTAATTCATAATTAACATATATTCAAAATAAATTAGTCCACAAGCTCTATTAGCCGCATCCATTTTTCCCAGT